ACTACCACTACTATTACTACTGCTGCCGCCACTACTACTACTAGGACTATCACTACGACGACGAAGACGACGATGACGACTACAACGGCTACTACTGCTACTACTACTACTACTACTACTAACTGTGATGCTAGTAGTAGTAGTAGTACTACTACCACTACTACTACTACTACTACTACTACTACTACTACCACCACTAGTAGTAGTAGTAGTACTACCACTAGTACTACCACTACTACTCCTACTACTTCTACTCCTACAACTACCTACTACTACTACTACTACTACTACTACTGCTACTACTACTACTACTGCTACTACTACTACTACTTCTGTTCCTGCTACGACTACTACTACTACGACTACAAAGTAAACTACTACTACCGCTGCTGCTACCACTTTTACCACTACTACGACTTCTACCACTACTACTACTACTACTACTACTACTATTACTACTACTACTACTACCATTACTACTACTACTGCTACTACTACTACTACTACTACTACTCATACTCCTACTACTACTACTACTACTCTGTTAATCGACTACCACAATACTTACTACTAATACTCCTTCTTCTTCTTCTACTACTACTTCTACGACTACTACTACTACTACTACGACTACTACTACTACTACTACTGCTACTACTAATACTACTAATACCACCTCTACTACCACTACTACTACTACTACGACCACCACTACTACTGCTACTACTGCTACTACTACTATTATTACGACTACTATCATTACGACTAGTACTACTACGACTACGACTACTACTACGAGGACTACAACTGTTACTACTAATACTACTGCTACGACTACTACAATTACTTATTCTACCACTGCTACGACGACTACTACAATTACTCTGCAACTACTACTACTACTACTACTACTACTACTACTACGACTACTACTACTACTACTACTACTACTACTACTACTACTACTACTACTATTACTACTACTACTACTACTACTACTACGACTTTGCCTACTACGACTACTACTACTACTACTACTACTACTACTACTGGTAGTGCAACGACTACTACTACCACGGCTATTACAACTACTACTACTACTACCACTACTACTATCACTAGTACTAGTACTACTACTACTACTACGACTACTACTACTACTACTGCTACTGCTACTGCTACTACGACTACGACTACGACTACGACTACTACTACTACTACTACTACTACTACGACTACTACTACTACTGCTACTACTACTACTACGACTACAGCTACTACGACTGCTACTGCTACTGCTACTGCTACTTCTACTGCTATTTCTACGGCGACGACGGCTACTATTATCACTACTACTACTACGACTACTACTACTACTACTACTACTACTACTACTACTACTACTACTACTACGCCTACTACTAACACGACTACGACTGCATCTACAAGTGCTACACTCGCCAACACTCTTTTTACCAGACATGCAGCTAGAACCACGCGGGTGCGCTTCGTGCGCGCTCATGCTCTAGTCGAATTCGCCCGGCGTATCAAAAATCAGATTCCTACTCCCTTGGGGCCGTCTTGACGACCTCTCTTTTTTTGTGTGCAACGTGACCCTGGCCAGAACCTCCGCGTCGGCTGCCTTTATCGGCACGGCAGCTGCGCGAGCAGATCCAAGGCTTGCCTGCCCAGTGGTCTATGATGCAACGGCGGCGGCTTTTCTTAGCCGAAAGGGTCGTCGGGGCACTGAAAACCACAAAAAAAGAGAGTTCCCCTGGCAGCGGCACGGTGGAGCTCCGTCGGCCAGTTGTGGCAGGCCAGTGAGGGCCGGAAAGCCAGGTGACTCTCTTGCGAAGGGCGGCGTTCTGTACAGTCCCGTTGGTTCGCTCGTGCAGGAGACGAGGATGATCAGAAGAGGAAAAGAGTCCACCCCCCCGGTCCTTCCCCCCCCGTCTTGAGGGCCTCTTGGGCCGTCTTGGCGACCTCTTGGATCGTCCTGTCGCTCTCTTAGGTCGGATTCGGGCCTTCGCGGGGACCACTTGGGCTGTCTCGGTGCTGTCTTGGGGACCGCTTGGGCCGTCATCGAGCGTGGAGAGCCGAAAATGCATGAGGGAGGCGGAGAGAGGAGACACGTTTTTCGTGTTCTCGTGTTTTCGGGCTTCCGACGTTCCCAGATGGCCCCAGAGGCCCACAAGTCCGTCACAAGCAGCCCGAGAGGCCCCCAAGAAGGATCCAGACGGTCCACGAGGGCCCCAAAACAGCCCCAGAGGCACCCGAGAGGGTCCCAAGACGGCCCCAAGAGGGGCCCAACAGGGGGAACACGAACCACCAATTCGAGCCTTCTGGCCAAAGATGCCCCCAGGAGGCCCCAAGAGGCCCCAAAGAGAGCCCAAGAGGCTCCCTGGAGGCCCCCTGGAGGCCCCCAAGTGGCCCAAACAGAGGCTCAAGGAGGCCCTCAGGCAATCGCCTGCGATGGCACAACACGGGCCGGCGGAATGAGCGAAGCGATTTCATAACGCAGCAGGGAAGAAGGAGAAGGAGAGGAAGAAGAAGGGCGTGGAACAGGAGAGAGTCGAATTCGCCCGGCGTATCAAAAATCAGATTCCTACTCCCTTGGGGCCGTCTTGACGACCTCTCTTTTTTGTGTGCAACGTGACCCTGGCCAGAACCTCCGCGTCGGCTGCCTTTATCGGCACGGCAGCTGCGCGAGCAGATCCAAGGCTTGCCTGCCCAGTGGTCTATGATGCAACGGCGGCGGCTTTTCTTAGCCGAAAGGGTCGTCGGGGCACTGAAAACCACAAAAAAAGAGAGTTCCCCTGGCAGCGGCACGGTGGAGCTCCGTCGGCCAGTTGTGGCAGGCCAGTGAGGGCCGGAAAGCCAGGTGACTCTCTTGCGAAGGGCGGCGTTCTGTACAGTCCCGTTGGTTCGCTCGTGCAGGAGACGAGGATGATCAGAAGAGGAAAAGAGTCCACCCCCCCGGTCCTTCCCCCCCCGTCTTGAGGGCCTCTTGGGCCGTCTTGGCGACCTCTTGGATCGTCCTGTCGCTCTCTTAGGTCGGATTCGGGCCTTCGCGGGGACCACTTGGGCTGTCTCGGTGCTGTCTTGGGGACCGCTTGGGCCGTCATCGAGCGTGGAGAGCCGAAAATGCATGAGGGAGGCGGAGAGAGGAGACACGTTTTTCGTGTTCTCGTGTTTTCGGGCTTCCGACGTTCCCAGATGGCCCCAGAGGCCCACAAGTCCGTCACAAGCAGCCCGAGAGGCCCCCAAGAAGGATCCAGACGGTCCACGAGGGCCCCAAAACAGCCCCAGAGGCACCCGAGAGGGTCCCAAGACGGCCCCAAGAGGGGCCCAACAGGGGGAACACGAACCACCAATTCGAGCCTTCTGGCCAAAGATGCCCCCAGGAGGCCCCAAGAGGCCCCAAAGAGAGCCCAAGAGGCTCCCTGGAGGCCCCCTGGAGGCCCCCAAGTGGCCCAAACAGAGGCTCAAGGAGGCCCTCAGGCAATCGCCTGCGATGGCACAACACGGGCCGGCGGAATGAGCGAAGCGATTTCATAACGCAGCAGGGAAGAAGGAGAAGGAGAGGAAGAAGAAGGGCGTGGAACAGGAGAGAGAGAGAGAGAGAGAGAGAGAAAGAAAACAAACAAACAAAAAAGAAAGAACGGACAGCGAGGAATGCGGGAAACGGAAACGCACTCTGGGAAATGAAGGTGGGAGTCGAGCTTGAAACAAAGGATTTGAGGGAATTCCCTTTTCTTTCAAGTTGGCTATGGAGGCCCCCAATAGCACCAAAGATCGCCCCAAGAGGCCTCCAAGAGTCCCCCAGGAGCTCTGGGGTAACCCTCGAGAGGCCAACAACACTGCAACAACGAGACAACATTTGCGATTTTGTGTTCTCGTACTTCCGCCTCCGATGCGCTTCCGAGGCTTGCGCATGCCCCCGTACGCCTCTCTGCACGCCCTTGGGGGGCATCTTGGAGCTCCCCTGGGGGCCTCTTGGGAACTCTTGAAGGCCCCTCGGTGCCCTCATCGGCGCCGGGTGCCTCTGGAGCGGATCCTGGGAGCTCGGGGCGCCTTTGGGGCCTCGGTGGGGGCCCTTCGGGCTTCGTGGGAACCGCTACAGCCGCGGCGTTGACCTAAGGAATCTTAAAGAAGGAGCGAGGCCCCTTCATCCCAAAAAGTTAAGCTTCGACTTCCCATCGAGAACCTCAGGAAAACCCAAGCCACAGTGTAAATAATCAAGAAACACCGAGCCCCTCCCCAACGAAAAGGGTTCCTTCATCAGCGCCCTGGCTGTAGTGGCGGGCTCGGTCGAACGATGATGAGGTCAGGTGGAGGGCAGGATCAGTCAGCATCGAATCCGCAAGCCGGATCGGAACGGACTGTAAGTTGGATCGGGCACGGCGCCATCTGAGCATCGGGCCGCAGCGGATGGCCTGCACTCGGACTCGAATCGGATGGGGCCGAAACGGATCGGACACTGGGGCAAGAGACCCGGAGCCGTTTTGGAGGGCTCGCTGGCCGTTTTGGGGGCGTCTTGGGGCTCCGTCGGGGCTCTCTTGGGGAAGCCTCTTGGGATATCTTTGAGCGATGTGAGAAGCCCTCTGAGGCCGCCCTGGGTCTGTTCTGTACCGTCTTCGCGAGCTGTAGACGTCCGTGGGCTCTCTTGTCTAGGGGCCCTTTGGGCTCCCCTGGAGGCCTGCAGGGGCCTTCCTGGGCGGTCTTGGGCCTTCTTGGGGCCCTCTTGGTGCCAACGCGACTGGCTGCTCCACACCTAGCGCTTAGTGGACGTCTGCGCGAAAGCAGCGGAATGATCGTGAATGGGCAAGCGAGACAACATAATGCCCCACAAGCGATGACGAATAACAAAAGAGGACTCCGAGAATCGCTCGACCCTGCCTGGATATCATGTGTGACATCGACGGCAATCACAGCCCGCCACGTGTAGATACTTAAACTGCTTTCAACATTTGTTCTTCGACAAAAGGAATGGACCGTTTCAGCCTCCCGGGGCCCTTGCGGGGCCCATGTTGGTTTTGCTGTGTCCTCCTCCCGCCAGCGATCGCCACCAGAGCATCTGGTGAACGAACGGGAGCCTGCCCAGAGCAGTTGAAGCGCCGTAGAGACCAGGAAGCGGCAGGCGACCGTGATGCAGGATCGAAGATCGCAAGCGCGGGGTGTCATATCCCGTGTGCAACCGACGCCCTAGCGAGCATGACTGGCAGCCGACCTCTGGTGTCCACCATGGATAACAGTGTAACAGAGCTGCCTGTGGTGAGAACGCACCGTCTAAAGGCTTCCCGCGCAAGCACGTCATGGGATTCACTGCGTAACATGCACAGTAAACATGGTCTGCGGACAAGCACGACGCAGCACCAGGCTACGGCAAACCCGCGCTATTATCATGTTGACAATGTCGAGAGCGTAGATACGAGAGTTCCGTTGTTTTTCGCATTGTCTCACTGCGTTCGGCGGCTGCCAAGCCGGCGCCATGTTTCTGACGTGGACGACGTCTCTCTCTCTCTCTCTCTGTTTCTCTCTCTCGAAGAAGAAGAAGAAGAAGAAGATAAGAAGGGAAGCCTGCAAGACAGGAGGCCAATAAACATACAAGGGCTTCCTTCTGGATGCAATATCACATTTCACACACAAAAGAGGCAGCAACCCGTGGATGGTCAACCTCCACAGATCAAATAAACCAGTCTGAGTCATCTGGTCCCTCACTGCTGGGAGGAACTGGCATCGGTGCCAGAAAAAAAGGTGTGGTCTGGGAGAAGGACCTTCCACGTGGACAACTCCGTCGGCCACGACTCGCAGTCCTGGAGTTCCGCGGGGCGGGTGAAGAAATCCTGATCCGTGTAATTCGTCGCGTTCACTCCCAAGACGATGCATAGGGAGGAAGAGCCGTCGCCGATCACAAACTGTCCCCTGCTCGTGAATGAGAATCTCTGCTTGTCGCTCCCGGTGCAGCTCGTGAGGCTGAAGGTGGACCCAGCTTCAAATTTTCCGCGGACAGTGAGACAAGCCGGACTCGTGCTCAAATCCGCCTCCCAAGATCTGCCGTTCTTCGACCCGGAGTACAGCGGGTTGCATTGCCCATTGAAGTTGACGGAGCGGATTGACTTCGTGTCGGGGTCGTACTCGAACTGGGTGTCCTCGCCCTCAGTCTTGCAACTGTGGCCCTGGATGCTGTTGCACTGCGGGTGGGGCGGGGAACCCGCGATGTCCAGGCAATAGCTCCGGAAATTTCTCGGATCCACAAGTGTCGCGAGGTAAACGTTGGGCCCAGGCGCGTAAAGGTTGCCCTCCATCTCGGCCCCGACGCGAGACTCCTCCAGCTCCTCCTCCTCCGTGGGGGCCCCCGAGCCCGTCAGCGCCGAGCGCCTCTGAAGGGCCTCGACGCGCGCGGCCGCCTGCTCGCACTCCTGCTGGGAGTCCACCTCCGCCTCCGACCGGGGCGCCCCGGCGGCGCCAAGCGAGGCCGCGACGGCGAGCCCCGAGGCCACGGCGAGCAGAGCACTGATCAGAGCACCGGAGGCCCTCGCGGCCGGCATCCCGTCTCTGCGTGCGCCGGCCTGCCTGGCAACGCGCTGGGAGCACGTGCGAGTCTTGGCAATCACGCGGCAGCGTATAGACTGCACCGTGATGTTCGAGCCCAAACGGCTGCGGAAGCCCTCTTGGGACGTGTTGGGGGCCTCGTAGGCTTAGGTCGGGCATGTCCCCCTACAGAAGGGCTTGGACGAAAAATGAAAAAATATCCCCAGAATATCTTCTAAACAAATTCAAGAATGGTCAAACAATCGACCCAAGACCCCAGACTGTTTTGAACTACCTTCGAACACCCCCCCTGTAGAGGGACAAGCCCGACTTAATCGAGGAGGTCCTGGATGGCCCGAGAGCCCGTGGGGGCTTCTTTCTTGGGCGCCCTGGGGACGGCCGAAGGCCTCTTGGAAGCCTCGTGAGGGCCTTCGGGGGCCCTGGTCCCCCCATGCGCCGCTGCTGGGGGGCCTCGTCCTCGTCTATACATACATGTGTATATATATATGTATACACACAACGCTCTCAACCCCACTAGCCCCTCCCACCTCCCACATACATGACATCCTCCGAATCCCCACCAACAAAACTACCTGGAACAAGATTGGAGAACCCACAGCCGTCCAAATCCGCCCTGCGTCCTCTAACATCGGGGGTTGCTAAAGGTGCCCCTGGCCCAAGGTGCCCCCAACTTTCCGTTGAATCTTGGAGCCCCTGGGGCCCTGTGCGCGTCGTAAGGGGTGCTCTGGAAGCCGTGGACGCCTCCTTGGAAATCCTGGGGACACCTTGGGCCAGGGGCACTTCTGGCAACATCCGATAGCAGCATCTCCGCCTGCCTCCTCCAAGAACGACCCCGGACCTCTCTCAGACGACACCGTCCGACCAGGATCTCGAGGCGGATCGGGCCGCGGCGACAGGGCTCCCCCATGAGGCTCAGTCTGAAGAAGTCAACAACAGATTCCCAAGAATGCCTCTTGTTCCGTACGCCCACCGACAAAACCCCTTCGGACTGTGATAGCACCCGAATGCTGCGCCAACTGGCATATCCAGAAGCATGTGCGGAGAAACCAAGAACTGATCGAACACACATGACAGAAGAATCATCCTTATCCCCCCAACCCCTGGACAGCACTTGTTGAGCTCAGTGCCTGACCAAAGTCGGGCGTTGGCAGAACTGGGTTTAGTGGAACCTGGTTTAGTGATCTGTACGTGGGGCGCCCCCCCGTCCCATTTCCACTAACCGGAACTGCCGTCACCCGAAAAAACACCAGCTATGGCAAACCTCGGTGAGTGATTCTGGCAAATTCAAAGGCTCCGGGCCCTACCACTAACCGGGTCCCCTTACCTGGGGTTCTGGCCATACCCGACAAAGCGTCCCCAACACAGACGTGACACACCTCGGCCAGGCCATCTCCAAAGGAAACGCCACAAAGATCTCAGAGCCGCCCAGCCAGGGCTTCCGAGCACCCCCAGCCAGCGAAACCACAGGCGAGCTCGGAACAGGAGCTAGGCAAAGAAACAGTCGCGGTGCAGGTAGGAGGCGCCCCTCCTCCCTCCCAGCCCCCCCATCGCTCATTTTCCCTCCTCCTCCTCCTGCTACCCCCATGCAGGAGCGGCAACGAACGAAATTCGGTATTCCTCCTCCTTCTGCTGCTCCCCCTCAGCCTCCTCTCATCCGGAGGTCTCAGGAAGCCTCGGGAGGCCCAGGCGGCAACTGCCCCCGGCACGTCGCCCCGTCGGCAGCAGGGGTGCAGAAGCGCTGCTGTTACGACGGACGCCCTGAAGAAGAGAATCTGCGGCCGGGACAGGAGTTCAGAGCACGGCCACGTGCACCTTGGCATATCTTGCGCAGAGGGTCGTGGCCGCGCGGACCAAACATGTGACCGGCACTGGGGCGAGAGCACGACTCCTGATCTTAGAACGTCTCAGGCGAAACGGCTGGCAGACCAGGCGGTCTAGGGCTCCACGTCCCTGGGAGCGAAACGCTACCAGGGGGCAAGCATGAGAAAAATGAGCAAATACAAAAACACATCGCATCCGCGATCCTCTTCCTCCTCCTCCTTCGTCTCCTCATTAGCCGCCTCTCATCCAGAGGTCTCAGGGGGCCAGTCGATCCTCGGTCCTCCTCCGCCTCCTCCTCCTCCTCGGTCTTCCTCCTCCACCTCCACCTCCTCCTCCTCGGTCCTCCTCCTCTTCCTCCTCCACTTCCTCCTCCTCGGTCCTCCTCCTTCTTCTCGGTCCTCCTCGTCCTCGGTCCTCCTCCTCCTCCTCCTCCTCCTCATCCTCCTCCTCCTCCTCCTCCTCCTCCTCCTGACGCGGTGCTCGGGGCGGGGAAGGCTGGCGGGTGGCAAAGGCTGGCGGGTGGCAAGGATGGACGCCGGGAGGCGGAGGAGGAGCGGTGGAGGGGAGCTCACGCAGAGAGGCCCCGAGGCTGCGCCTGGCATGCCTCCCCCCCCTGCGCCACTCCCCCATGGACCTCCTCATCCTCCTCCTCGGCCTCGGCTTCCTCCTCCTGGACCTCCTTCTTCCCCCTCACATCATCCCTCCCTCCCTCCCCTCCCTCCTTCCCCTCCCATCCCTCCCTCCCTCCCTTCCCTCCCTCCTTCCCTCTCATTCCCCTCCCTGCTCTTCCTCTCTTCCTGCCCCCCCTCCCTCCCTCCCTCCATCCCCTCCCTCCCCCTTCCCTCTCTCCCTCCCATTCCTCTCCCTCCCATTGCCCTTCCTCATCTCCCCCCCCCGTCCCCTCCCTCCTCCTCGTGGCGGCGAGAACACGAGGGGAGGGACGGGGCGAGGGGGGGGGCGGTGGTCCGAAAGGGCAGGCGGGGGTCTCGCCGCCGCTCGGACGCCCATGCCCCGCGCACTGCTCCACTTCGTGCGCGCATGTTGTTCGCAAGTTGACCCGCAGTGCCCCTCGATGGTCCTCGCCAAGGGAAAAATGCACGCGTCGGAGCGATGCCAAGGGCCAAAGGGGATGTTGGGCGGGGTCGCAGGTGCGGTCTCGGGCGGGCTGCTTAAGAGAGCAGGATGCAATGCAAGAACCCCCTGCCTCCTCGTACGGCT